TTACACATAGAAGTAAATCTACTTAATTCTACAGGTGACCCCCCTCTGACACAGCTCACCAGGTTCCATTCAAGCAGCTGTTTTTATTTATTTTGGATTGAGCTAAATTGACATTGCTGCATGCCACCTGCCCCTTTGGGAGAGGTGCACACAGTGGCATCCTTCTGATATTAATGTAGTGTCTCAAATTTGTAAGAATGCCAGCCTACTATATTCAACAGATACATAAAAGCAAATTTATGCATTTACTTAATGGCCTTAAACAGGGACTACACATATTTGAGACACTTTGTTCTTTTAAAACAGAGGAACCAGACACATACTAATCAATCATATTATCTTAATTAGTATGAGGAGAGAGCTCACCAATACTTTTGTAATTCTTTTATTTGCTTAATGTGCACGGTACCGCCTGCAAATTCAAAGGTAAACAGTAAAGGACCCCCTCAAGTGCCTTGCCAAGCACTTGAATGGCAGTAACATTTCACAGAAGCTTCTGCTCCCAGTCATTCACTTTTAATGTTCTAAATACAAGGTTACAGTGATGCCCAATAGCAATGCTATAACATGAGCTGACACATTTGATTAAGTTTGCAAGAAAATAAAGACAATTGGCTTGGGTTTTTCCAGCTTTGCTGAATCACAAGAGCAAAAGACATTTTCCTCTTTTAGCTTACTTCCCCTCAGCATTTCACCAGGAAAATCCAGAAAAATCCACATCTTGTATGACCAAGCAGGAGGCAACTGCACGCTTAACTACCTAATGGAGATCTGTAACTCAGAATTGTAATGGCAAGCATAGAAAGTTAGCAGGTTTGCTAGTAAGTATACTACAATCTACATGAGGTTAAGTGGGTACTGCCATCCTTTCCATGACAATCTTAGGTACGCAATCTGAAATACATTAGCACTACTTTTTTTTTTATACTCCACTTTTTAATTTTTATTTTCCAGTAATTTTTGTTCTTATTGTATATCAGTTCTAATGAAATAAAATGCATAATGTATTTCTTAATTTCAATGCTCAGGTTTTGCAGCAACAATTTTTTTTTCCCCCGATCTACTGCTCATTTAACATTTTTGATTCTTCCAGTATAAATTACTTCAGAAAAAAAAAATCCCTTCACTTCAATTTCCCTCCTTCCCTCAAATATGTTTTGTTCTTCAAGAAGTCCTGCTTAATGTATATGCATTCTTTTATCAGGAAAATCACCTCTTTGGATGTATATCCTGGAACTAGTCTTGCCACACTGTCCCAGTTGATAGGCTGAGGAACACCAATTAGGGAATACAGGATCATATCCAAAACCATTTGATTGTTGTCATACGGAAAGTTATTGTTTTCTGAAAATCCACGACTCATCTCTGGCTACTTAAGCCTAGAAAAGAAAATGTTATTAGGAAGTCTCACTGTATGGTTTGCTAAAGCTTGATCTACGCTAACTGCAGCGCTCCATAAATTACTATGGGAAATGTTTACCACAGCATTACAGTCAAGTACTAATGTTTTATTTGACAAATAAAACATACATTTGCATCTGCATCCTCAAAACCCTGAGGGGAGAAGCACATGCACAGAACACACCAACATCACCTCAACAGCAGCAGGCACTGCCCGCCGTTCCTCTGAGTTTGTTTCCAGAAGGGATTCACACCACTGATGCCTCCAATGCAAAAAAAGGCCTCCCGCAGTCACAGAATAAACAGCCTAAGCTACAGAGGGACATTTTAAATTAAATTTACTTACATTCAAATACACTTGTCTGTTGCCCCGAACTTTCTACTGCTCAACTTCTATCTCCTCTTGCTCTATTTGTTTTGCACACCTGACTTCCACTCTGTAGAAGCCAAGCCAGGGCACCCAGCTAAGGGCAAATGATAATACTTTGGAGCCAGGAAACACACCACCTGGCTGTCTTTCAGCTCTCATCCTGAAGACCTGACTTTTGAGTTTTCCTAAGGCACTTGTAACTCCTGATTAGCTGGGATTATCAGGGCCAAGAAACCCTGCTCCTTCAGCTTCAAGTCGAACACAAAACAAAGCATAAGGACAGCAGTGAACACTTCAAAAATGCAGTTCTCATTTGAAAAAAAGTGTTACATTTAGGGTGGTTGGGTTTTTTTTTCCCAAAAATGAATTTTACGTATATAGCATCAGGGAACACAGTAAAAGTGCAAAGTACTGTTTTAGCATATGCTTGGAGAAAACTGCAGGCATTAATCAAGACTTTCATATTCAAGTAATGCACAGCCAAGGCACTTAGTAAGTACTCATATTTGGAAAGCACTTTGGATCTTTTCCAAAGTACCTTAAATAGATCACATAAGCAACACAACTTCAGAGTCACATACAGAATTTTGACTTATAAAGCAAGGATTATAGAGAATTTCAGAAAAAAATACTCAGATCATAGCAGATTTAACCGATCACTTGTTACTAAAAGTATACTACACGTAGATGTTTCTTTCGCATCACCCTCTTTCCACGCTGCTAAAAGAAACAATGCTTAAAATACACAGAATAGCACTGATTTTGGTTTTTACTCTAGAAGCCAGTCCAGCATTTTTTAGTTTGTTTTATTAGTAGAAACAGAAATTACAAGAGCTGGTAACTGTAAGCTTTCATCCACTCAAAAGAGCATCTGAATGAAACCATCAGTAAGAAAAAAACCCCAGAACCCACAAAGATAATTCTTAGGTTTCATATATTCAAGAGATTAAAAAAGACAAAAAATGGAGGGGGGAAAAAAAAAAGCCACAAACACAATACAGAAGACAAGTCCAATCAGAAAAATCATTTTAGCATTTCTGTCTAAATGAAATCTATTGCAAAGTGTGCCAAATAACCAGTTTTAAAGGACAAAGATCCTTCACAAACAACATAAGCCCAAACTTTCCAACTAAGACAAATGTCACTAAGGTAAAGGTAGATCAGTCCCTTCAGTCACCAAGTCTTTAGCTCTCATCCTGACAGTACTATCAAGTGGTGTCACTGTGGTATTTCTATGGTGAAGACTTCACGCCGTCAGTGCACAGACAGATGTCGGTATCAATTATATTTAAGCCACTGCATTTCTACTGTATCTGCTGTTATGAAAAGAAATAACCAGGCCAGAACAGGTCAGCACTAGTGGCAAGCCTCAGTGGTTATACAATATGAAGCCAACTTCTTGTACTACCTCGTATGCGTGTAGCAGCTGGTTGAATGAGGTAAGTAAATGATGGAGTATTAAAATCCTCTGGTCTTGAGCAATAAAATATGCTTAATGAAAGTAAAATTGCTAGCAGTGTCAATATTGCATAAATCACCGTTTTAAGGACTAGTTCTATGATACAATTATCCTAGGTAATCAAAGAAAGAAGGAAAGAAAGGAATCAAAGAAACAAAGAAAGAAAAAACTTGTTTTGCAATAGTTAGGAGCCTATAATTTAAAGGAAAAAATACAGTCTATTTTGACTGCTTTGCTGATACCAAGTTTATGCACACATCAGCACTGTGGAACGTGAAGCAACCTGACCATAAAGGGATGACAGGTACTCTAAAACGTAATGACATGTTCAGAGGGGATGAAGCCTTGTCTCTCAAATATTTTTTTATTAAGATACAGTTTTAGATATGCTTATTACTGCAAAGATAAATGAAGGTGCATACTTAATTACAAGCAGACAGAAGTTAAGCCTTTTTATTTCTATTCTGGAAAGAACATGGGACTCCTCTTTGTAGCTTTAAACATGATACTTAACATGTGCCTTTTTGTTCTTTAGGAAATCCTCTCAGAAGTATAGTTAAAGACACACACAAGAGAGAAAACTCTCCATAAGAAGAGCAACATAAAGCCTGTAATAAATCACATAGTTAAGAGACAGAAGGCAACTTCTACAGATTCTCTCCAGTTTGTTACTGCAAGTAAAGCTCAAGTTAACCCTTTCCTCAACAATGGAAACTGGAGGAAAAAAAGTTTCAGAATTGTTTAATTCTGACCAACTCATTTGATATGTACAACATAGAAAGATATGTGACAATAGGAATTTATATTAACAACTAGAATTCTAAATTACGTAGTGCAAAAGATTCCCAAATTTCATAAAACTGATACGGTTTAAGCAAAGTGTTAATTCATTATGCAGGGAGTTGGTTTACACTATGGAAAGGCACCGCCTCATTGGAGACTGATCTTTTCATTTAAGGTAAAAGATCAATCTAAAAATGAAGAATTATTACCCCCTTGGACGTGTGTAACTACAGGAAGGTAAAGGTGGTGCGGTGGGCGTGAGGTTTCATGCAGAACCCTTAAATGCAATAAAGTGACGGTGCAGATTGGGGGTGGTTGGGGTGGGAGTAACAGCAACTTTAACTGCAGTTTGTCCGCATATTTGTAAAAATAAAAATTAAAACGAGGTATTTAAATTAAAAAATAAAAACGGATCCCAGTTTTGGGGGCAAGATCCTACAAGTGCAATCAGCCTCCTCATGAAATACCGCCCGGGTGGGGCCC